CATATGCATGTCCAGTCCTCCAGATGGAGGTCCAGAATGCAGTACACACCAGCCTTACCAGGACGCACCAAAACTCGAAGCAATCCCGGCAGACGACAGACACAGAGCAGAGCCAGAAAGCAAATTCCGTCTCAAAATCACAAAAACCCATCCATCCAGCCCAAGAACAGCTCAGATCAGCCCAGAAACCAGCCAGAATCATCTCCAGGACGCCTCAGAATGGTTGACAGTAGTTGACAGTGAGGAAGGAGTGAAGCAAGGGGCTGGATGGCACAGATTGCCCTGCAGCAGCATCGTGGTCGATGCTCAAGAGCTAGAGAGGGGATGGTGTCGAGTTTGCGCCAAGAGTGGCAGTGCAGGACCCTTGCGCAGCCTTAAGGCACCGGAATTTGATTCCATTAGACTATCTATGTAGCCTATATGTATATAGGGACGGATTGGCCTGCGGCAGGCCAATCCACGCCACGTTATCTATTCTCCCCTAATCGACGACTCGACAGCTGTTCGTCTTTCGCTCACTAGGCACAAGTATTAACGACAATGGACACCGCCGAACCTGGAGAGCGTGCAGAGAGTAGCACGCGCTGGGTCCCACCGGCCGCAGCGCAGCCTCAAATCAGTGCGTACAACTCAATGTGTATGTAGCGTGTGCGCTAACAACACCTGGCAGTCCGTGCACATCAACGAGATATTTATTTCCTCGCGGCATTTATGGAACAGTGCGAGACTGTCTTGCGCTCCTTCTTTGGTGAGTGATTTACTGTTGCGAGACGGGTGGTTGTTGACCAAAAGATTAGGAGTGCGGACGCTCCGCAGGTGGGAGAAGGAGATCAATTTGCTTGTTCGGGCCTTCTACCTTTCCCTCACTTTGGGCCGAGGTGAGCAAAATAACGACGTGCACATATCATGTGCTTATCGTATCCCTCAGGCTTTCAGACTCTAGGAGAAGAATACACCGACGTATACCAAGTCAGCGCCCGCTCAGGCCGCTTTCCCACCCATCGCGTCCGTCCACTCATCCCCTGTGCGTATCTACCCTGATTTCCCCTCAGCTGCGGATCATCTCCGTGCTCTTATCGACCCTGCCATTCTACCTCGTCGCACGCTTGTCAGCCAGCTTGAATCCACAGCGTAATCCTGCTCTCTCTTCCCTCCTAGCGTTGAGCCAGACAGCGACCGCCGTTGCGGCGGATGTCAACCTTGCGCTGTTCTACTTCCAAGGAAGGTATTACAGTCTCCTTAATCGGTTTCTCAGTCTACGACCCGTAAGCCCCCCTCGCTAGTAGATGATGGACGAGAGCTGAGCCTGATATAGCACACGATGTCCCCTCCCGAACCGGGCATCCGTCCACCCTCCTACGGGCTGCTCGGGCTTCTCCTCTCCATGCGGCTTGCCTACCGAGCATACACCTTTATTTCCTCCCTCACCCACGCATCTTCAGCCTCTACTGCTATATCCACGGATTCCAAATCCAAATCACCCGGGAATGCCACTTTCATCGACGCCAAGCCGGTGACGCTGCTCCTTCACCCTCGGGATCCGGAGGACAAAGGCCCCGAGCACGCGTACGTTTCCCTCTCCTCCCTCACACCAGAACAACATTCTGCCCGACGGTGCGTGCTCTGCTTGGAGGAAAGGACGGCAACTGCTGCCACTGCGTGTGGGCATCTGTTTTGCTGGACTTGTGTGGTGGATTGGACGAGGGAGAAACCGGAATGTCCCCTCTGTAGGCAGAAGATCGACTTGCAGTCCTTGCTGGCGATATACAATTTGTAGCGAGCACCGGAGAGGGACGCATGGTGAATGTGGTTGGGTATGATACTAAGTAAATGGGGTGACTTCTCACATCCATTGGTGTTGGTATGCCGACTGGCGCTGATATGTGTAGTAGTTGCTAGAATCTCGAGAAAAAGTGGAACAATGGTTGATCATCAAAGACTGTATGCGATTCAACGACAGTCTATCTCAACGACTCTCCAAGGTGCCTAGCGCGACACTGCTCGTGTTTTTCACCAGCCAAAATCCGCCCTTGTTCTCCACGCTGTCCAACTAGTGGAGTACAGAACAATCCGGCGGGGCCGGTGAACATGCCTTGATCCGAAATCTGATGCGCCACACTCCCATGTCACACATTTAAACGCCCATCCTCTGCAGGCGAGTAACCTGATGCCACTGTTGCCCAAGTCTGAATCAGGCCGAGGTGGATTCCTTCTCTTCGGCACCTTCTACTGGTCCAGTACTGCTCCTTGCAGGCACATCTCCCCCGCTCGGCGATCGATATGACGGGTTTGCTGTGTTGCCGACCTTGCTGGCGCCTAACGTGACTCGCATCACTTGCAGCGCTCGTAAGGTGCCACACTTTTATTCTGATATTCTGTGCTCTATGGCGACACCTGTGCCAGCATGTTCGGGACGTTTACCTCTGCTGTGGCTGCGGTGCAGGCGGTTTTCCAAGGCTGATGAGGCGGGTCCGGCAATGCGCCTGACTTGCCGTGAGTCTGTGAAGATCCACAGCGTCTTTATCAACCGGGACCTTACTTAACCTTTACCTTCTGCGGTGATACCCCCTTCTGAACTTTTCCACTCTCGGTATTTGCCCTTTGCGCGTGGTCATGACTTCTCGACGCAAACCTTCCTCGCGTGTGACACTCCCCGTCTGGACAACAGAAAGGTATCCGCTCATCCAGGAAGATGGTCTTCAAGACCGTTCAGCTGTGTCACGAGATGCACTGCAGCAAAGCATGTCTGAAGTGACACTGATACCAAATGGTCAATCTGAAGTGAGTGCACCTAACTTCATAAGCGTCGAAATATCTGACTGTTCTTGCTGGATACCACAAGAAGCATTTTCATCTGCTGTGGAAGAGCGAATCACGCTACACCCCTTATCACCCGAGGAAGTTTCTCTAGCGGAACATCCTGCCCATGGGAAGGAGCCCGTATACGTGGACAACTTTCCCGTAATCTGCGGTTCAAGGGACGACCAGTCTTTCTGGCATATGTGCAGAGCTCGTTTTGGAGAAGAAGACGAAGTCATGCTTTCCTGGTGGAGTGGAAGACTGACCGGACTAGGGACTCTTGTGAGCGTCTGTATTCATATATGCGAGCGTTACGAGAAACGAATTGATGAAGTTCAGGCTGGTTTGCTCGTCGCTGCTATCATGGGCTTCCTCCCCGCTACCTTCGACACAACGACTGGAACCTTGTCCATTCCACAAACCATATAGATTCTCGCGCTCGAAATTCTTTTGTTAGTTGTGGTACTCTGCGTCCCCGCTTCCCACGTCATACAGCGATACCGCCGTCATATGCCAGGTCCGATGGCAGATTTCGTCCGGGAACGCCAGCGCCGATACGATTCACTCATCCAGAATGGACTCCCAGCGCTCTTTTCTATCATGGAGCTTCTCGTTGGCTTGGCTGCCCTCCTCTTGCTTGGAGGAGTATTGGTTCTCGCTCCCAACGGCTCGTCGTGGGCTGCTCTCGCTTTTATGTCGTTGGGTGTGATAGGCTCGATCTATCTGTTGCATATATCTAGCACATGGGATTACCGGGACATCCCTCTGCACCGAAACGTTTTTCAAGGTATAGAGCGGTCCCTCGTGGATGGCAGCACGTTTGTTAACAACGCATTCACAGAAATGCTCCACGAGCTGAGAGAGATGATCTCCCTGTCATATCTGTACCATACGCCCAAAAGCATTCAAGAAGCCGAAGTTGCGAAGCAGAAGCTCAACATGCGAGTCTCCGTCTTCGTCGGTCTTCATACGCCCGATGTGGGGGAGCGAGAGCCTTGTTTACAATCAGCGCATGCCTTTGGTCCCATGAACTGGCACAATTTCAGAATGTTCGAGGGGGATCTCCGGGACTTGTCTTGCGGCCTCATCACACATCTCTTGGAAAGGACCAGCCCAGCCTTGTTGAAGCGAATGGAGGGCCGTTCCAAACGAACCCGCATCGTGCATCTAGCGGCCTTTTCGACTTGGGTCAAGCCTACCCCATTCCGTGTTAGAAAAACAATCCCTAACTCTACGTATGAGCTTGCCGAAGGCTCGATGGAACATCTTGCAGATTGTTTCGCCAGGCTTGACTCGGAGAAGAACGAGTACGATGATCCCGAAGATCCGCACAGCGGGAAGGAACACGCGCTCCTCGCTTGTTGCATTATCTTGCGCTCAAGCGTTAGAGAAGGCTTTCTTCAACAGATCATGATTGACAGATGGCTCGAGAACGCCATTACCCTCTTGGAGCGGGTGTTCGGCGGGTCGCACATTCATCTGTTTGGTGTTTGTCTGGTGCTGGACACGATCGCGTCGTTTTGTGACATATTATACCACGGTCCGGTGACGATGAACCAAGAGCAACGCGACAGGCTTATTCCGATAATCGGCCGCTTCCTCATCCAGCAGAAAAACATTCCTCGGCAGCTAGTTGCATGCGCCGTGGCGGCGTTTGGAAATCTTCTCCTCAAGAACGAGACGCAACATGAAAGCATGCCTCGTACATTTGCCCTGCTGTGGACGGAGGATCCTAGCAAGCTGATCGATTGGCTGCTCGAGCATGGTGGATCGGCCCTTGTGCATGAGATAGGGAGTGAAGACAATGGTCAGTCGCTTGATGCGAGTCAGACCTTGAAGATTGCAAAGTCGGCAGTTCGAAGGCCTACTATGGCTTGACGAAAGGAAATATCCACAGGATGTGAAGAGTAATCTAGCATTGCTGCCTGATGCCAAGTGATGCAAGACAGCAATAATGAGGAAGTCACATTTATTTAGGGACATCATTTCGGAATACACTAGCGTCATCCTTCGATTCATGCTGCTCATAGGGGCTTATAAGCGCCCGAGAAACCAGGCATGCGCGATTCCAAGAAAGGACTGTGTGACTGACACAGTGCATGCGGAAAACCCGGGCTTGCAAATCGGGTTGCGGAACGTGCGCCGGAGCGGCATCATATGGCGAAGATGGAACGTTCTAGCACAACATTGACATTGCACAGGGGATTTCAGGAGATAAGGACATCATTGTTCTGTGCATCAGGATTGTCAGACCACGAGCTAGAGGTTGTCTGAGCTTCCGCTTTTAGTTGCATTCCAAGTCAAGTCGCGTCACGAGACGCCATAAAGGGAAGACCAAGAAGGAATGAGAGTGAATGCACACACATGAAACGATCGGCCATCTGAAGATAAAACTGAATCGGAAGCCGACGGGTCGTTATAGTGTGAATCAGTTTTATCGCGGTCAGATTTGTAAATTGCGAGAGAAGCTTTCATCGGTGTCTCCTGCGCGACCAAATTTCCATTCCCCTGTCCTGCCGGCTGTCAGGGATTCTGTGATAGGGTAACATAACTGGGAAAAAAAGAAAAGGCGCGTCCAATGGAACAAGTCAAAAAAAAAAAAGATGAAAAGAATTGGATTCTGTGACGGCGACGGAGGACGGCACGTGATCCATTCTCGAGAATTTTCTGTATTTGACACGGACTGTCGTCGTCCTGCTTCGACGGGGAACGTGAGAGGACGGGTCTTGGACTATTTGGAAGGTGGAGAAGACGGCAACGGGCGGGCATTACGGAGGCAAATGTGAACGGCGGGAGAAGCGGGGAAAAGAACCCTTATGGCTTGGCTGAGCTGGAAGTCGGCCGAGATTTGGGTGTACGATAAAGCGATGGTGATAGTGAATAATATTGACAATGCCAGGTGATGTTGTTGTTGTGGGGTTAATGTGGATAATTATTGAAGTGATCGTGTGCTGGCTGACCTCCAAATCGAGTGGGTTGGTAAGGGAGAACATAGCCCTTATGACGTTGTCTAGACCCCGCTTGGATGGAAAAGTGAGTCCGCTGGCTTACAGTGTGTGTGATTGGGTGAGGTTCTGAATGCCTCCGTGTGGCGTTCTTTTGGAACGGTTTCCGCGTTGAGCGGTGTGTGGATCGGAAGCAAACAAGGAGAAGAAAAGAGAGTCCGGGCGTGTCGCATCGCAGCGACTCGAACGCGTGGTCACGCACCAGACGGGGAAAAAGGCCACTCCTTCCCCCCCCCTCCGCCTCTCCCGCCCCCTCCTCCTCTTTCTCTTCCTCTCTCTCTCCTCCTCGTCCACCTCACTCACTTCCCACCATCATCCTCCAACATTTATATTGTTGCTGCTAT